ACGATTATTTTTGGAGATGGAGAAAACAATAATTTATGGAGTTTAAAAGCCATTCTTAGAGGGTTCGAACTCATATCGGGTTCAAAAGTCAATTTTTGGAAATGCAACATCTATGGAGTAAACATTAGTGATAGGATGATGGCTTTGGCATCGACTTTTTTGGCTTATGGAATTGGGGCTTTACCTTTCAAATTCTTGGGGGTCAAAGTCGGAGATAGCCCGAGGAAATTAGCATTGTGGAAAGATGTTATTACTAATGTGAGGAATAGACTATCAAAATGGAGCGTAAAATTCCTTTCTATTGGCGGAAGAGTGGTTCTTATAAATTCGATGCTCAATTTTATTCCACTTTACTCCTTGTCTTTCTATAGAGCTCCAAAGAAAGTGATACAAGAGATTCGTAGCATTCAAAGTAGGTTCCTTTCGAGGGGAGTGGAAGGTAGAAGAGGTGTTCATTGGCTTAGTTGGAAGAAGGTGTACAAAGATAAAGACCAAGGCAGACTCGGTATAAGGGATGTTGAGTGTTTTAATATGGCACTATTGATGAAATGGAAATGGATAATTATTAATGAGGAGAATGGTATTTGAAGAAGTTTTTTGAATTATAGGTATATTAATTTGCGGGTGAAGATGTTCCTTAATGACAAGAGGGTGTTAACGAATAGCGATTCAATTTGGTGGTGGGAATTAATCATTATCAATGATTGTGATGGCTCTAAAGGAGATTTTGTTTCCGATCTGATTTCTTATAGGTTTTATTGCGGCGAGTCAACATCTTTTTGGTTCAGCAGGTGGTTGGAGAATCAACCACTTTCGGAGGCTTACCCAGAGTTATATGATACGGCGGTGAAGCCCTTTATGACAGTGGTTGATGCTGGCTATTACTGAGGGAGAGAATGGTGCTAGAACCTCGATACTATGGCGGTAATAGAAGATGGGGGAGCTAGTTGTTTGCTAACAGAATTGTATTCTTATTTGGCAGAAGTTTAGCTTCGGCAGGGTCAGCAGGACAGATTTGGTTGGGACGGTGCGTCGGACAAAATTTTTTTGGTCAAGTCCTGCACAGATCAATTCAGAGCTCGTGAGATCAGCAACTTGGAGAATATCGGCTTTAAGGAAGCTCTTTGTTTCTTATGGAAGTTGAATGCTCCGTCTAACATAAGGATATTCGAGTGGAGACATTTTAGGCTTCCTACTAGAGATTAATTGGTTAAAAGAGAGATTATTGTGGAGAATGGGAAAATTAGATGTGTTTTTTGTTTGAATGAAGATGAGTCTTCTCTCCACTTTTCATATGAAAGCAAAACATTAGATTTTTTATTGCATGTGATATTGTGTTAGATAAATGGTGTTTATTTTAAGTTTTCATATAACACCTCTAGAGAAAAATCACAGGAAACTTCTTACCACAATTTATGCCATTGAAAAGAATCCTATGAAAATTCAATTTTGTCTCTGTGTTTTCGGAAGTGTATCTCTGAGACACGCCTTTTTTTTATATTATTAAACTTTAGTTAATTCCGGAGATGTATTTATTAGAGGAAACTTGAAATATATTCCCAGTTAATTAGTGAGGGAAATTGAAAATTATGTCACCTTTGCATGTAAGATATATACCGAAAGTGTATTTCCAGAAAAATCAAAAGTCAATTTGCTTAAAACATCAACTAGCATGAACCAGCATGATCATCTTCATTTTCAAAAGTTTTCATAAATCCTCTCCAAAAACCCTTTCATTCTTAATTAAGTTTTTCACTCCAAATCTTCATTCTTGTGGTTCATCATATCCAAAGGAGCTAAAGGAAGTAGAATTTAAGATAAAATTCATTTATTTCAACTCTCGCTCATCATATTAATTTGGTTTTTCGTGAAAAAAAAAGTCACACTAATACCGAAAATATACTTCCGGTTACGCAATGAACTGGATCTGATATACATTTCTGGTATCTGTTTGTGCTTATTTTCCAATAATTTATTCTTTGCTATGGATGTTTCTTATTTAAATGTTTTTTTTACATTAGGTATGGTGCATCTCAATGTTATTCTCAAATCTATTGTGTCTCAAGTTGTTTCACCTCTCTTAGTTAAGACAGTAGATATCCAGAACCATTTTGAAAATGAACAAGAATATGAATTTTGTGATGAAATCTTGCAATAGTTTTATACAGAGGCCATCAAATTAGGGTTCAGTGTTGTGATCGGAAAGTCCGATAATAGTTCAGATAGAAGATGTGCATTTGTGACATTCAATACAATTAGTTGTTTATGTTTCTGTTTTTTAATACCAGAGAAGTTTTGGGAGATGCATCTCCGAAAGAAAAAAATAAGGGTACTTCCAGAATTACATCTCCGATACATTCTGTGTCCGCAAATAAGGTTTGTGTGATCTATAATATCATTCCACTACTATAAATAAGCTCATTTGTCATATTATTTTATACCAAATCACACAAAACCAGCGTGAACATCAAATGGCATGTTGAAAATTTTTACTTTACCGACAATAGACCATCCCGAAAATTTAAGATCAACGAGTACACTGCTCTTGAAGATGTAATACATATTGCAGAAACTCCTATCATATGGTGACAATCGAAAAATTATAAAGATCGAGTATCGCTCTTCATCTTTTGACGAAGAAGAGAAACTTGAGTTTAACAACCATGAGCCGAAGACGGGTGTTGATTTACGGGCTATGTGAAAATTTTTTCCATTTAGAATCAAAAATTCTGATCGAGCTGGATGCGACTATTTCAAAATTGATCGATGATATTATCAAGATATTGCAACGTTCACCTGGATATTGAAATATAATATTTGATCTATGTTAAAATCCCTTATATATTATTTATTTTATGATATTTTGATTTTGTGAAATTAGTGTATTTCAATTCTATTTTTCTGCATTTTATAAGACATTATTTCAAAAATATACTGCCAATTTACTACCAGAAATATAACTCCAAAAAATCCATGTTTTATCATATCTTAGTATATCCCAAAGATCTATCTTCAAAATTTAAGAACATTTAAATATTCTTACACACTATACTAAAAAAACATAACTTGTGTTACGAAATTCCCAAATCACAAACAAAAAAGCCAACATTATAGTTGGGATGTTGGCCAATTGCATCAACTTGATACTTTAATTTGAAATTTTTGTCAAAAACACAAAATTGGTGATATTATTATTTTTAACGTTATCTTCTTGAATATTATTACCTTTTTTTGTTCTTTTTGGGAAGAGTTAGAGCAAAAATCTTACATGATTGTCGAAAAGAGTCTGTCATAACCGATACTAACAATGTGCAATTAATGGTATGGCCAAAATCTTCCTCTGTAGTTCCTTCTACCGGCTTACCCCCATTTTCGGTTGTTCCCTCAAATCCAAAATATATATAATCTACCAATAGTATATTATGCTATTAATCATAAATGCCTCTTAGTTCTAAACTTGTTTATAATACTAATACTACCAGTTAAGCACATAAGTTTGGCTACAACGATAAATTTATCTTAAAACAAAATTTACATTTTTTTAATGGTAAAAATGTAGGTATTTTAGATGGTTAATTCATTTCATCTTTGATTTTTCTGCCGATTTAAAAGCAAGATTCAGCTCACGTGGGGGAGAAAACAATACACAACTAATTTAACATGACAACAAGTCCTCGAATCAATCAAGCTTGGTAATTTCCTATTGCTGAGAGTGACCAAATAATTCTAAAGTTACACGTTTCCATTAAATTCCAAGTTCACATTTATTTTAAATTCATAAATTGATATTGTTATAAGGTTTTATATTTTTCATATTTTGGAAAAGAAAATGATGTGTTATGAAAAGATAAGATAAGAGGCAAAACATAAGAATGATTATTATTATTATTATTATTAAACCATGATGGAGGCACAAGAGGGCCAAGCACTACCAACAGTCCTATAACTATAAGAATGAACAAGACCATCCTTTCAATAGTTTCACCTCTTCTGACAGTAATACTACACAGAACAGATAAACTCATGACTCCACATTCTTCAACAAATGACTTGCAATTCTGCATAACACTTGCACATACAAAGCTCTATCGACAATTGCTATTGCTTTCATCACACCATTACATTAACATCGATCCCAAACTTCAGCAATTGTGCTGTTTATCTCGATACTCACCAATTGAAGAAATTGTAAAAATCAAGACAACCACCAAGCATAACACTTTAAATAAAATAAGTACCCATTCATTTCCACAAATTTAATCACTCCAAATACTATAACTAGATCACCATCCATTGCTAATCTAGGCACATTGACAGCAAGATTATCACCTATTAGAGTTAATTTCTCAAACATCACTACTATCCACAAATCCTCCAATCTGAAGCTAAACTAACAGTGCACAGCCACACTAGCCAGTGAGGTTTAAATCACTCACCCCTTCACTGCTTCATCAAGCCAAAAGAGCCAGTGAGAAATTTAAACACCACTGTGATATTGAGTATCCGAATCCTTTAATCTTTGAGGACAACCAGTTCCAAGTCATAATTTTAACATCCTCAAACATCCTTTTTTTTTATGCCCAAATCTAATTGATCAAAACCTATTATATTTCTAGTCTTCCATAACACCTAGATACATGCATACACTATGTTGTTCACTCTTATAAGGGCTTAACACGACCAATTTCAAAACTAAAAACATAATCCATGACTTGACCAAGTATAATAAGGCAAATTTGGTTTGTTTAGATCCAACTATGTTATGGACTAACATTGAGCCGCCTTAGATTTATTTTAAAAAATTGTATACATATACTAAAGCTTCTAAATTTTAGCACAGCAGATAAAGACAAGAAAAACAACGGTGCAGTTATTAGAATCTTTATCTCTTTATATAATCATAAAATGAAATGTCAACTACAGTCTACAAACATAAAAAGGCAATCCTTACTTTCACTGCAAAACCACATATAGATTACAAATATGTCTTTGAATACTTCCTAAAAGGGCCGCTGGAACCCTCCTAAACTAAATAGAGAATGAAGGAAAGCTGATTCACTAATAACAGGGATATTCGAAAATGTACCAAGAAGAGCACACCTGATGGAATGCATGCTTATGAGAATATATGCCAACGCCACACCAGCCCAGTAATACATCCCAAGTGTTCCCTTGAAGTGTATGAGCGGCAAGAAATTGCTTGCAACCCATATTATCTGAAGAGCAATTTCCAGTAGCATTCCCGCCATTACATGGAATCTGAAGATAACGGGAAAGTCCCTATTTTTTACCACTACCACAATAGCCAAATAGCAGTATAATATAGGGAACCAGGTTGGCAATCGGTTGACAGCTCCAGGGATATAAAAGATCAGATTTTCAAAAAACTTGTATTTATCAAGTAAAGGCTCTATGTAATACCCAGTTGCAGACATCTGCAATGCTATTAGATAGGGTATACAGGATAAAGTCCTCCACCACCATTCTGGCTTCTCAGCATTTGCAGGGATTCGAAAGCCAGACCAATGGTATATATATGCTTGTGGACGGGTGGTACAACTGCCTCTTCGAGATATAGGAACACTGAGTGAGAGATGACCTAGTTTATCAGTAGATAGTGGAGATGAAACAGCCGTGAGTCGTGTAGCTGATTTTCCTGAAATAAATTTGTTACATTAGATATATATCATAGTGTATTTGAAGAAATAAAACAACAACCAAGCATTATCCCACCAAATAGGGTCAGCTACACAGATCAATCTTCGTCGTCATAATGTTCTATCTAGGACCATGCTTCTATCCAAATAGTTAATCTCGATATCTTATTTGAGGAAACAGTTGTGATTATTTAAATAAAAGAAGTTTATCAAGTGATGTGAACCTTAGCCAAAACCCACTATCATTAAAATGGAGCAGAAGGAATATTCCATTCCCATGTTTGGAAATTTCAGAACGGAACAAGGCAAATTCTTTCATTCCACCCAAACCAGAGAGGAAGAAATATGGTGATAAGTGATGGAATGAAATGGAATTCATACCACTCCATTCTGCTTCTTCCGATTTTAAATGATCCAAACAATAGAACACCACTCCATTCAATCTCACACCGCTCCGCTCCATTCCATCCATTTAAACAAAGCCTTATTTTAGGGGTTAAGAAAAATTAAGACACCACCAAAATTTCAGGAACCCTCCAGTTTCATTATTCTTACATCAACCTCTAATATTTCACTAAATCTTTAAATCATATTACTGCAACTACCTAAAACTTAAAAATCACTAATAAATCCATATAAAACAGAATTGTTAGGAAAACATGAAGCATACTTACCCAGAGAACTGCCTGCAAGACCTTTGATGGCAAAACTCCTTTTCCTGTAGAATGTAACTCGTCTTTCCGGAATCAAATCTTTATTCCTAATTTATAAATAAATAAACAAAAAACACATAAATTTTGAGTTTTAAAATACAAAAATAAGTTAAAAGAATTAGGGTTTTGGGAAGGGAGGGTTTTAAGGAGACCCTCCTAATATGAACAACTCAAAAACTGTATCGGAGAAAACTTTGAAAAGTTTGAGAAGACTTATAAATCATAAAAATACAATCTATATTGCTATAATTCCTTAAATATAAAAAACATATTAATCAAAAGCAATTGTTTATCATCAACACAACAACAATCTTTCAAAAAAAAAATTAAAAATTAATCAATTTTTGAGTAGGGTTAGAAACATTGATCGTAACGATACAAAACACGATTATCGAAAGTGAAAATTGAAAAGGGAAAGAGATGATTACGAGAGAGAGGGAAGGCGGAGAAGAGAAACGTTGGATGTTGTTGTTGCTGCAGCGGCGGCGAATTGGGCTGCCATCGTCTTCTTTCTGCCCTCTTCTCGACTCTTCCGTTACCCACCTTTTTATTATTCTCGTTTTTATTTATTTTTTATTTTATTAAATTTTGCTGAATTTTGAAGAGTAGTATTTCAGAAGCTTGCCCTTGTCTATGGAAGGATCTCGAATTTCGAGGACACTTACCGGAGGCGGTGTCATACGTAAATCAAATTTCATTTTTATTTAAAGGTTTTCTTGTTTCTTTTGTAAGAAATATTTCCTCTGTTGTTGTAAATTTTGTATTTGATTATTACAATTGATTAAAAATATAAAACATTTTTATAATAAACTATTCTTTCTATCAGAGAAAAAAGTAAAATCACATTTATTAAAAAATAAGAAAAATATTTATTAATAAATTAATTATTTATTTAGTAGTAATGTTTTTTCACTATACACTCTTTGTTATTTATTGGATGTTTTTTCAATATTTAGTAGAAAAATATTGCCCTTGTAATGTTTAATTTATACAAGTTTTGAATGATTGATATAAATTATTGTATGTAAATTAAAAAATGAATTATTTTTATAAAAAATTATATTTTTTTAACTAATGATATAGACAAGAAAATTTTTAAAAACTAAAATAAAATAAAATAATATATAGTAAATGATATTATGAGAAAATATAAATTAATATTTTATTGTAAGATTTTAATTAATGAATAATACAATAAAAGAAATTATATTGTTAAAGGATCGCAATCACTCATATATGATGCATGTATCGGAAATGAAATGAAATTATTTAGATGAAGCAAGGGTATCTTTATTGTGAAGTATATAAAAGTGGAATGGACGATTAAGTGAATTCAAAAAAGTTTAGAAGGACTATTAATTTTATAGAATGTAGAGTTTTTTCTCTAAACATTTACTTTGTTTAGGAGAGAATGGAATTGCAGTCATTTTTAGTATCGCTTTTACAGTTTTGATTGTTTGTCAATTTTGTTTTACATTATATCATTTAGTTTTGTCGCTTGTTTTTATTATTTTCATTATATGAAATTATTTGGATTGTTGTAGTAATGCTATTATAATTCACTTGGAATAATGTATTAGTATTCATTCTCTTAAGTTATTTTAGTCTTTGTACCTTTGAAAACCCTCTTGACTAATTGACTTAGTTGTTGTAGTCTATGTTTGAGTCTTCTTTTAATCCTAGCAATTGGTTTTATGTCAAAAACACAAGTATTGTTTGAATCACAAATTATAACACTTGAATCAAGGTTGTAATGATTCAAATTATACATGTGTGACTTAAATCATAGAGCATCATGAAAGGTGAGATTTGACTTTGCCTCATTTGAGTCGAATCATAGCAAGGTGTGATTCGAATCACAACTTCTATGAGTCGAATCATGAGGTGTACATGACTCAAATCATGACCTCTTTCTCATATTTCCAACCTTAGATTCATGTTGAGTTTCTCTTTGATTTGAATCATAACTATGATTTGATAAAAACCTTTTGTCTCAGTTAGTTGAGAGTAGCATTCCCAAGAGAGAGTGTATATTCTCTTGCACTAATTTTTCATTTTTCTTCTTTTTGTTAGTGAGTGTGTCACCATAGAGAGAAAAACTCAAAAAAAAAATAGTGAGAAAACACATCTCTAGATTCATTGTTGTTCTTGTGTTCTAATTGAAGACCAAGAAACCCAGAGAAAGTAAAAGAGATATGATCAATCAACTGTTAGGATTGATCAATGTTAGAATAACCACCATAGAACCTTGAAACCCATTTCTGCAATGAATCTTGAGAGAGTGTAGAAAGTTTTCTTCATTCACCAACACCTAATTCCTTGTTGATGTCTTGTGATTAATCTTCTAGAATGTGGATCTTGTGAATTTGAGTTGTGTGTGTGAGATTCTTCAGATATTATTCACCATCTTCAGCCTTTGTAAAAAATCATTATTGTAGATCTTTAACTTTAAAGATTGAGTACGAAAGGTAGATAAAAGATATATTAGGGAATCTATTTTTTTTTTTATATTTTTGTGTATCAGGTAGAAGAATTATTTCTTGGATATGGATTTTGGTTATGTGTTGTTCACAAAGAGAGTGTCTCTATACTCCATTAAAGACTTTGGTGAAACCATGTGAAGGTTTTGGCATAACAAAGTTGGAAGTTATCCAATTAACTGAGGCTAATGTCAATCGCTCAGACGAGTCTTCGACAGATTCGAGGGAAGAATGATTTTGAAATGAAGCTCGGAGCAAGTTATTGTGGATAGTAAGATTATTGTATCAAGATCATTGAGGATTTTGCTTGTAGAAGTTGAGTATCTATATCAACAGAAGGAGTTATCATTGGATTCGTGTGTAGGCTATTGCAGTGTGGTTATTCATATCCGAATTGATGATAGTTTATTGTATCAAAATACTTGTATATTAACTCTTGAAAATAGTGGAAGACTTGATTATTTTTCCCAATGGTTTAAAACTATTAAAGAGTGAAATAGGCATAGCGAGACCGGTTGCCGAGCCACAACATATCTTATATAATTTCTTCCTTCCATATCTCTCTTTAATTTTTGTTGTTTAGCATGTAAAAGTTAAATCATAGTATAACTTTTATGTCATTTAGGTTAGATCATGATTGTAGTAGTGTATTGTATAAGCATAGGTATGTGTTGCATCTAATCTATTGAATTATATTTAAGTTGATTGTGTTAAACGACATTTTAAAGTTGAGATATTAAATTGCTTGGATCAAGCAACTTGAATTGTCCAAATTGACTAAAGTCATTGTTTGATTATTCTCTTAGTGATAACATTTAAATACATTGGTTATAATCTATAATGATGAGATTTTACGCTTTCATTTTATGTTGTTTTAGCTTCTGTAGACCAAAGTCTGATTTTTTTGTTGAATATTTTCAATGCTTTTAAAGGGGATAGTTTTATTCAACCCCCACCCCCCTTCTAGAGCTTTTCACTTATATCCTCAACCAACTTGTGGTCTCAGAGTTGGTCTTTAGATCAAGTCTAAACGACTTCAAAAGTCGGGATTACAAAGTCTTTTCGATCCTAAAATCCATGTTTTTGGAAGTTTTCTCATCTAAGTGGAAACCAAACATATTCATTGAGATCCTAATGATTGATTCATCCTTGATTGTTCAATAAGAAATAATATCAAATAATTCTCTATTGGAATGTTAGTTGATCATCAATTGAATTAAGAGATTCTTTAAGTTTGATTCCTCCAGGATTGAACTAACTAATTGTTGAGATATATGCAGGATTGATTGGAAATCCATCTTTATGTTTCTTATTTTAAAATGATGTCTACTAACAAAAGCTAATGATGTATTATTTATGCGACAATTATTTTTGAATTATAGATTATCGAGAAATGAAAGGAGAAGTATCTCTATTGACCTATTCTTTCAATATCGTTGTGAAAGGAGATGAAAATAATTTATGAATATTAGCAATGTTCATTTTTTGTCAACCAACTATCATGGGTTCAAAGTAGTAACTTTTGAAGGATCCATATTACCGTCTAAGTGTTGAAGTATAAGTCATAGATTTCCAAACTTTTATCGAGCAAATGAAGTAGCTAATTATATGCATATTCTTGAAATGATAATTAAAGATGATTATATGTGTTGTGCAAGTTCATCTGAAGACTTATAAATGAGTGTTTGATAGTGTACCTCAGACGTGCAAAGGAGTTGTATCCATTTGTATATGATTTATCGTATTTTTCTATAGTATGTTTGTTGTTGTTTACTAATCATTTACATGTGTATCAAATTAAGCCATTAATCTTTAAAATTGGTATGATCGTTCCAATCTAACTTATTCTTCTTATAGTATGCATATAAATTATCGCCCTTATATGTTAAATGCAATCTTTATGTGAAATGTATTTGTACGTGTTATTTATGCAAAGTATATCTCATTCATCTGAACACATTTGCATCATTGTTATTTCAACTGAACATTCATCATACATTCATGCATCACTTATCATTGTGTGCATTTATTTTTTTAATTGCATATCATTATTTTACATTCCATTAAAAAATTCATTAATTTCTCATAGCATTAAAATTCTATTCAATTATTTTCTATCACATTAAAACTCCATTTCATTAAAGTTATTTTTCATTATTTTTCAATTTTTTTTTCAAAGTAAGTGGTCATGATTCGACTCAAGAGTGATTCTTGATTCGAATCACAAAAATAAAAATTCAAGGAAAACGTAACTGCCAAATCTAATCGAATCGCACCATTTTTCTGAGTGACCTGAGTTATATAAAAGTAAGAAATAACTTTTAAAATAATAAGGCAACTCACTCACACACATAGGCATGACAATAAAACCTGTACCGCGGGTATCCACCCGAACCCGCCCCAAAGTTGACGGGGAAAAGTCGCTTTGGCTGAGTTTGAGTTTGGGTTTGGGTTCTCCCCCATTACAAAATATGGGGACGAGTCAGTTAATAGGGACACTGGTACCCACTCCAAACTCGTCATATTTATTTCATTATGTACATTATTATTTATTTTTGATAGTTTAGAATATTAAATGTATGGTCAATATTTTGATAATTTGATTTGTATTTATTATTTGAAATGTATGTTGAAATTTTTTGAGATTGTTTTATTTTATTATTTATAATGTAATTTGATTTTAGAAAAAATAAACATTTCGGTTAAAAAAATTGATTTTGCTAAATAGATAGTGGCAGGACGGGGATACTCGAACCCGTTTGGGATGAATTTGAATTTTAATTGTCCACCCTTGTTTGAGTTTGAGACGAGAAACGAAGATTATTTGAAAATTTGGATTTGGGTTTGGGAGAAGTTAAATCGTCCCCAACCTGCCTCATTGCCATGCCTACACACCTTAAAATCTTTTCAAATATTTTTGTCATGAAAATTATTTTCTAAGCCAGAGCCAAGAGATTAAAAAGGTGTCTAACAAATTTTCAAACTATTTTTTAACTAACCAATCAGTTGGTAAATTGTGTCA